TGAGCGTGGTGCTGACAACACCAAGTCAAGGGTTAAGATCCCCTTACTGGTCATCTTTAAAAAAAAAAAAAAAAGAATATCTGAGACTGGGTGATTTATAAAGAAAAACGAAATTTATTGCTTACAGTTTCTGAGACTGGGAAGTCCAAAGTCCATCTGCTGGTGGTGACAGTGACCCAGGGGTCTCACATTGCAAGATGGTGGAAGCAGAGAAAGCAGAGAGAGCAACCTCCTCATTCACTCTTTTTAAAGCCCTCTGAACCACGCCCATGACCACCACTTAAAATCCATCCACTACAACATGGTCCTACAATCTAATCACCTCTTCAAGGTGGTCCTACAATCTAATTCACCTTTCAATTACCAGAGTAGAATTTCCCACCCTCTTGACAGTCACAGTGGGGGCCAAGTTTCTAATGCATAAAACTTGGGGGACACAATTCAAGCTTCAGTGAGTTTTGGGGGGACATAATTCAATCCACTACAGTCCATTTATATAAAAGTCAGAATAAATAAAACTGTAGTGATAAAAATCAGAATATTTAAAAGATTGCTTATTGGGAAATGAGAATTGATTAGAAAGGGACATGAAGGAAATTTCTGGGGAGATAGAAATATTTCATATCTTGTCTAGGGGGGTGTTTGCACTAGTATATACATATGTAAAAATTCATTGAGTTCTACACTTAACATCTGTGCAATTGACTATATAAATATTACCTCAATTATATGTATGTATATGTATGTATATATAATTCCCTCTTTTCATATATATATATTTCTATAGAGAGAGAAGCCAAATGTTAGCAACTGATGAATCTAGGTAAAATGTGTATGAATATTCATTTCACTATTCTTTCAACTTTTCTGTAGGTTTGACTTTTTTCAAAATAAAATTTTGTGGCTGGCTGGTTAGATCAGTTGGTTAAAGTGTGACCTTATAACAAGGTCAAGGGTTCAGATCCCCATACCGACCAACCGCCAAAAAGAAAATAAAAAAGATAAGATAATCTTAAAAATAAACAAGCAAAATAACATTTTAAAAAATTAAAAATAAATTGCTGGCCCGTTATCTCACTTGGGAGAGCGTAGTGCTGGTAACACCAAGGTCACTGGTTCAGGTCCTGTAACGGCCAGCTGCCAAAAAATAAAATAAAATGGACATATAATTTCTAGAAAAAATGTAGCTTCAGCTCTCCTGGAGTTGAATGTAAATCTTATAGAGTTTTTTTTTTTTCTTAAGAACATCAATGGGATTTCATGGCTCTGAAAAAATGAGCTGCTTCAGGAAGAGACAGATGGCTTGAACACTACATAGCCTTCAAAAACTGAGAGAAGTGCCAGCTGTGCCTGAGCTGGAGAGAGATGTGTGATAAAGCACATTAAAGTAAACTGTGAATTGTAAAATCTGGGTGGTAGACAAAATTCCCATAATAACTTCCCCTGCGGAAAGTTGCCTTGAAAGAAAGGGGATGCCCGTTCTCAAAACCCACCCCAACCCCTGAGCAGGCTCCAGTAAAAAGTCTGAACGCATAAGGAGATATCCCACAAACCAAGGTGCAGTGCCCTGGTTAGGGAGTCCAGCAGAGGTTGTCACCCCTGCTTTAGGCCATTGGACACTGAGGCCTGAGGGTGGAAGTGACATTCCCAGGGTCACACGGAGCATCTCAGTTGAAGCCTAGGCCCGCAAGTGCCTCGTCTAGTGTTTTATCCCCTCAGCCTCTCCACGTCTGCTCCTGAAGCTGGGCTTGCCCTGGACTCCTGCAGTGAGCCAGGGTCCAGGGCCACCCAGGGCCTCTCCAAAGTTGCTCCACCCCAACCCCCAGAATGTGTTTTCCTCCCACCTGTCCCAAATGCCTGGCATCGTGCTGCATGAGGGGTCCTTGTAACTGGCATTGCCCCCTCTCCCTGACACCCATGATACCCACAAACCATCAGTGTTTTCCCAAGGAAGCCAGGCCCACTTGCCTCTCAGCAGAGTTTCCACGGAGTTGACACCCATGAGAGATGTCACAGTGACACCTTCAGAGGGCTCTGGCTCAGGGGTCAGGGGTCACCCAAACTCCAGAAGGAGGAAGTAGTTTACGAAGCTGTCCTTTGGGACAGCTGAATAAGCTTTGATCCGCCCTGAGAGGAGCATGGTCGTTTGGCTGTGGCCAGCAGGACAGCCTTCCCTTTTCTTTCTTTTTTTTTTCAGCCTTCTCTTTTCTAAGAACATGGGTCATGGTGCAGATCTGCTTCAACTTATTCTGGAGGGATTAAGCAGGCCTCATCTGGGCCCTGGAAAGTCGTGGCAATTTGCTTTCCTCCTGCTACACTGCCTGTCTGTCTAGAGGCAGGCTTGTCCCCAGCAGGGCTCAGTCAGCTGAGGGCATCACGTGTTCCCCTGCCACCTGCCTGGTCAGAAAGATCCACGATGTGAATGGAAATGCTGGGAATGTGAAAGCAGAGACCCTGGGTTAGCTGTGATGCACCAGGTACTTGCTGGGTGACCTTAGACACACTGAGTTCCCGTTTCCTCATCACATCTGCCGTGCACAGGGTTGTTGTGACAATGAAATGAACGCACATATGTGAACCTACTTAGTGAGCTCTATAAAAAAGGTAGCTTNGGGTCAGGGGTCACCCAAACTCCAGAAGGAGGAAGTAGTTTACGAAGCTGTCCTTTGGGACGGCTGAATAAGCTTTGATCCGCCCTGAGAGGAGCATGGTCGTTTGGCTGTGGCCTGCAGGACAGCCTTCCCTTTTCTTTCTTTTTTTTTTCAGCCTTCTCTTTTCTAACATGGGTCATGGTGCAGATCTGCTTCAACTTATTCTGGAGGGATTAAGCAGGCCTCATCTGGGCCCTGGAAAGTCGTGGCAATTTGCTTTCCTCCTGCTACACTGCCTGTCTTTCTAGAGGCAGGCTTGTCCCCAGCAGGGCTCAGTCAGCTGAGGGCATCACGTGTTCCCCTGCCACCTGCCTGTCCCCCTCCTAGCCAGCAGTCACGTGGGTGAGGGTGGCAGGCACCAGGGCTGGGCCCAGCCCCCACACTGCCCAGACAGACTGTCCCAAGGCACCCTTCCTCCTGCAGGTGCAGCCCCAGCCAACTCCTCTAGGAGCCCACTGGTGGCATCTGGCTGGTGTGCGGTTACATCCTGCCTGTTTAATTCATGCCTGGGGGTTTGGACGAGCTTCCCAAGAAAGGAAAAAACTCCCCGGGGGTCTTGCCCCATTTCTGCCCGCCCACTGGCAACACAGCCGAGTCCCCAGCCTTGTCCCTAGACCTGGGGGCTGGGGAATGGAAGCAGCCGATGGGCTTGGAGGACACTGTCCCAGCCAGGACATGGCCATCGGTTGCTAATCTGCAGCCCTGGAATGTCTGAGGGCCAATCGGCAGGGTCTCAGGGGCTCCCCAAGGGCGCTAATAATCCTGCAGTGATTAGCAGGGGCTACAGGGTCAGTGCACACCGCTCTGCCTGCTGTCAGTGGGGCGGGCGGGCTGGCCAGGCTGGAGGCCGAGCAGGGAGGCATCCCGGGAGCTGTCTGTCTCTTGCATGCCAGCGCCGACAGGAGGCTGTTTGGACACACCGATTACTCCCCAGCCTCCCCCTTTTGTCTGCCAGCCTAGCCTGACTCCTGGAGATTGTGAATAGCTCCATCCAGCCTAGGAAACGGGAGCTGTCTGTCTCTTGCATGCCAGCGCCGACAGGAGGCTGTTTGGACACACCGATTACTCACCAGCCTCCCCCTTTTGTCTGCCAGCCTAGCCTGACTCCTGGAGATTGTGAATAGCTCCATCCAGCCTAGGAAACAAGCTGGACAGCCGAGCCAGGCCGTGTCTGGAGTGCCTGACGGGCTCATGCTGCGGCCAGAGCCCTCCCCAGGGCTTGGGGGCCGGGGTCGCCAGCCTGGCCTCCTGTCTGTGCTCCTGGCTCTCCTTGGCATCGCCTGGGCAGAGGTGCGACTGCCCCAGCTTCAGGAGCCTGGAGGTAAGGGGCGCCTGGGCGAGGACAGAGGCGGAGGAGCCATTGCGAACTCTGGTCGGGGGCTTCTGGAAGCCTGAGCCCTGGGCTGTGCTGCTGGGATTTAATGAAGGACCCACTGGGACAGTCCAAGGCCGAGATGGATGGATGCTGGGCCTGGGGAGGAAGAAAGATGAAGCAGGTGGGCCTAGGGTTGGGGTCAAGGGGCAATACTGAGCTGGTGCCTGCATCTAGGGTTCCAGGAGAGAGACTCAGGGGCCGAGAGGAGCCCCGGCCCCCCGCACTCAGGCCCAGCACTGCTGGATGCCGAGTCTCTCTTCTCCCCCCACTCCTTTCTCCATCTCTCAGTCTCCCCATCTCTGTGTCCACGCCTCCCCCACACCCACCACCCTCCTCCTCTGCCATCTTAGATCTTGTTTCCTAAGGGTGGGGTTGCACTCGCATCTTGCCATGGGTACAGGCCCCAGATCCCCTGCGGCCTGACCTTCTCTCCACACCCCCAGCCCTGAGCAAGAAGGAGAGTTTCTTGCTCCTGTCCCTGCACAATCGCCTGCGCAGCCAGGTCCACCCCCCTGCAGCCAACATGCAGAGAATGGTGAGTACCCCGACCCAGGCTCCGAGGAGGCTCGGGCTCCCCCCACCTGGGCAGGGTGGGAGGGACAGCCAGTCACCTTGCCTATTGGGGGGACCGTGGCCCTGGTTGCTGGGAGCTCTGCGCTTCCTTCTCAGGGGCCCTCAGTGCACGAGGTCGGGCCCCTTGGCTCACACTTTTCTGAAGGGCAGACCTTGGACCTTCTCTGGCATCCCGTTGCCTCGGAGACCAGGAAACATGGAAAGAACTGGGATCTCCTCCTCCAGAGAACAGAAGCTTCACAAAGGAGTTCAGCAGGATGGGAGAGCGGGGGACAGGGAGGGAGATGTGTCCTGCAGGGCTGGGGCGGAGCCTGTGTGTGACCAGGACCCGATGCTACTTCACAGTTTATCTGGGTGACTAGGAGGGGCCTCTCCCCCATGCTCTGTGCATTCACTGTTCACATTTTATAGCAGGAGCCGGCGGGAGTGGGGGGTATAGGGTGTCCCACCACCTCAATTGGGGCTGCAGGGTTGGGGCTGTCACTCTGGAGCTCGGATAATGCTGCCGCCACAGTCTGCGACCCCAGCAGTCCCAGCCCTTGTTAACAGTCCAGAGAGCAGAGGCGGGCCGGGTTCCCTGTGGCTGCTTCCCGTAAACTCCTCCAAGGCTGGCAGCCATGGTGACGACCTTGAGAGCTTGGGGGTCAGTTTCCCAGGAGGTGGGGGTAGGGCGGGCAGGGGTCGCTTCTCCCGCTTCCCTGCCCTGAGCGGCTCTGCCCCTTCCTTAGCCCAGGTCCTGGGTAGTCAGGGTCACTCCCAGCTGCCACACCTGGTGGTGGGGCTCCTGCCAGGGACCCTGCAGGCTGTGGTGGGACTGCTGAGATCAGCTGGTTGGCAGCTCATACCCTTTCCAGGGCCCTTTTGTCAAAGTCCTGGAAAACCACATTTCAAAAAAGGTATACATGGAGCCCACCACTCAGCCTCCTTTGCACTTTGGCCTGAGCACCTCTGCGGGCTTCTGGGGCTCCAGGTACCCCTTCTTTGTACCCAGTGGAGACTGGGGCCCTGGGGTGGAGCAGGCTGCTGAGGGGCCCCAGGGAGACGCCCCGGCTTTGGGCTCCCATGAACGTCTGCCCGAGGCGAGGCCTGCTGTGGTCAGCCCTGAGCTGGAGCCTTCCTCCGGCATCCATTTAGTGCCCGCAACAATCTTATCCTCTGGGCCCCTATGGTCCCCATTTTACAGATGAGGACAGTGGGTCTTGTGGAGATTAGGTGACTGCTGGAGGTCACACACTGGAATGAGGTGGCTGGGCTGAACCAAGGAATAGTGCAGGGAGCCCGTGGGGCAGCTCTGGGAGCCAAAGCACCGAGGCCTGGGACCCTCTCATGCCCTTTGTTTCCCGCTGGCACCTGTTTACTCCAAGGCTGGGGTGAGGGGCCAGGGGAATAGGACAGATGGCACGGCTGCTGGGGCTTTTTGTGTGGCAGGAGTGAAGCTTGGCCAGGTGGGAGCAGTGGGGCCTTTCTGACAATGGTGGGGGCCACTTTACCTGAAGGCAAACACAGAACCAGTCTCAAAGGCCCAGGCACTGCTTGGGGCTCATGGTGCCAGATGGGAAAAATGACAGCAGCAGCCCATCCCATTGCCCAGGCTGGCACTAGGCCCTGGGCAGGGCTCCAAGTGCCCACGACAGGACTTGGGAGGTTGGAGGCTCAGTCCTGGGCAGAGCAGGTCTCCAGGTCAGGGCTCAGATGCCACCTGTGCTTGCCCAGCACACCGTGAAGAGCCCCTGGCCGGTCCTGCTGGACCCTTCCTAACCTGGGTGCAGAGAGGGAAACCAGCTCAGAGCGTCAGGAGGCCAAGCAAGACTCTTCATCCAGTGCTCTCTTCTGGGCACCAGCTGGTACCCCTAGATGCTCAGAGATGGCAGGGGAGTTGAATCATCAAGGCCTGGCCCCGCGGGCTCCTCTTTGCCCCATAGGCCTCCCACTGATGCCTCTGTTTGTGCTGCCCCCCAGGACTGGAGCGAGAGCCTGGCCCAACTGGCTCAAGCCAGGGCGGCCCTCTGTGGCACCCCAGCCCCAAGCCTGGTGGCCGCCCTGCATCACACCCCACAAGTGGGCTGGAACGTGCAGGTGCTGCCTGTGGGCTTGGTGGCCTTTGACGAAGTGGTCAACCTGTGGTTCGCCGAGGGGCAGCGGTACAGCCACACTGCAGCTGAGTGTGCCCACAATGCCACCTGCACCCACTACACTCAGGTGAGTGTGTGGCAGGTGAGGCCAAGGTACCGGCTCCCAAGCCCCTGAGGCTGGCTGGGTCATTTCAGAAGAGACTACAGTTGGTCCTAAATTTGGGGATTCCTTTTCCTCCAATTTGCTTAGTTTTATTTTTTTCAACTCTAAATATGAACAATTTCAAACATAAATTAAAAATGGGCTCCCTCTTACCCACTACCTAGGTTTAGTTTTCTAAACTAAAGCCCTTCTGCTCCCTATTACCCTCTGTCCCTCCATAGAGGGAAGCTTCCTGACTCCTAAGCAAGTTTCCTTTTTTTTCCCCCTCATTCGACAAATATTTGTTGAGTGCATTTTCTATACCTGGCACTGTTTAGGTGCTAAGGTACGGCACTGAAAAACACAAATGGAACCCCAAGCACGTTTTAATACCTTTACTACATGTGTAAGTGTTTTTATACCTTTTCTACTTGTGCAAGTGAGTTGTATGTTTTTAAGTCGTACATAAATGGTCCATGTGTCTCCTTTTGCAACTGTGTTGATTGCTCCAGACCACGTTTGTAAGATTCACTTCCATTGATCCACATGTGCATGGGTGACGCATGTTGACTGCTGTGTAAGTAATTCACTGTAAACAAACTGCAGTTTACTCATTCAAAAGGTTATGGACAGGCATCTAAGTAATTTCTACTTTTCGGTTATTACAAGCCATATCACAACACACAATTCGTAGTTCAGGTCCTCTTGTGCATATGTGTCCAGAGTTTCTCTAGGAGAGACTTGGAAGGGCTAGTCAAAGAGCACATGTGCCTACAACTCGATGCACCAATTCTACAAACCAGTAAATCCATTCCCATGCCCTCGGCATTGTCAAGCTCCTTAATTTTTGCCAAACTCAAGGATGTGAAAACCTTACCCTACTTTAGCTATCCTTTCCGCATTCTTTCCACATTCTTTACACTTTTTGTTGGCTGTATGG